ATATGTTACATTTTTGGTGTAAAACAAGAAACAAAAAAGTTTGAAATAAAAAACTCTGATGACATGAATTAAGAATAGTGTTGTATGAACGGGTTAATTCATGTACGTAATTCTGAGGGCGAACTACGTTGTTCATATGCCCGTAAGAACATTGCATAAACTGCATTTCTGTATGGGAGCAGTAGTCTATTTAGTTTAGAGTTACTACTTACTATTGTCGCGAAGTTCAGCACAATTGAGAATTTCACATATGGTGCTAAGCAAACATCTGCTCGAATATTTTGTAAATTGCATCCGCTTCCTTTCAATATATTCTTTAGGTAAAGGCTTGCAACACTAAATCTGGCACCGGTGTCGAAAACTGCTTCTCCCAATATTCCAAATAGTTTTACGTGCACGGCCAAACACACTTGTGGCGATCGAGTTGAAAGAAAGTGGCTGAGGGCTGTTTCTATTGTTGTTGCTGCAGGTATTGCAATTTGACCTGAAAACGAAACATAATACAAATAGGGAGCCCTATAAGTTACCCAAATTTGGTATGACAATAAATAGCGAAAGCTGGGAAGCCGAGTCATACGCTTCCTAGACTATAGACTAATTAGCCTTCAATCCTTTCTAAAGAAAGGTTACGGTACTCCAAAATTAGGAACATTATCAACCCAAACAAAATTGATAATGTTCTGATTATAGGGTGGCAAGGGGTCAATAAGTATACACTGCTGACCAAAATAAGTAGTGTACAACGATCGGCTTCGATCCCGATTGCTGGAGCGCTAATAAGCACACCATAGGCAGCCCTGAATACAATCCTGCATCTCCAACCACTAGACATTCTGGTTAAATTAAATGTGCCCTGAGGCTCCGGGAAACGGACGCCTGGAAGTCGCTGAACTAATTCAAATGTAGGTTTAAAACTCTTCCTTCCATAGTTTCTAACTTAGTATTTATTAAACAATCAGAAAGATCACCTGCAGGAGTATTTCCTAATTTAAGGCACATTTTCATAAGGCTGTCGGTTTCGTATTCGAACGTAACACAAGTTGTGGTATTCATAATTAATTATTAACTAATGTATTTATTACATTATTTAAAACAAGTTATGTATTGCAAGTTAATACCAAATTTGGGTAACTTATAGTGTTCCCTATGTGTACTATGTTTCGTGTTACGAGCTTTATTATAAGATTTCCTAGCAGTCTTTGTCAAGGATGCTCAGCCATACCGGCTGAGATTTTCTCCCAGGGTATGTCAAACGGCAGGAAGCCTTATAGCTCCTCAGAAGAGTCCCTGTGACATCGTTCACTGCTTTCTCAGCATACTCAGTCGTTCCGTGGGCTATGCGGTCAGGGTTTGTGAATGCTGTTTTATGTTTGAATTTATCCCAGTTTGTCTTCCAAGGGTTCCTATAAGGTTTCTGCTTTTCGCTAGAGGTATGAATTTGTGATGGTTGTGTCAATGACTTCGCCTCTCACTCTTTTTACGAAAGTATCTGTATTGCCCCTATTACATATCCTAAGATTATATCTATTATACTCACCTCTTGGATTGGTTTCACTGTGATGGGCATTAGCATCACATCCAATGACTAGATCGCCAATGCTATTCTCGAGTTACCCTATCTAGTCTGACTGACACTGTTGCTGAAATTTGAAAGAAGCCCGCGGAGGCCGTCAAAACCGTGTAGATTTTGTCGCTCAAGCCAGTCACCTTATCTTTGTAGAGATATGTATATAATCCACTGACAAATTGACACTTGATATCGAGAGGATTTAGTAGCCTAAACGTGCTCTTGAATAGTCGGTGTTTAAGGAAGAGAGAGCGAGGAGCAATTCAGCAGTTGCTGTCTGCAGTTTCCCCATCCCTTTAAACAGCTCATGCTTGTTCCTGCTTAGGTACTGCTCACCAACAGAGTCGGCGGCGAACTGCTGTTTCTTTCACTTCCTCATCTGTTTTTCCACCAACCTCAGTGAATTCTCCAGTCCCTTAAAAGGTGGTGGGATCCGCACTAAGTTAACCGCCAACTTTCAGATAGCTGTCGATCAGCAACCATTTATCATCACTGAAAATCCCGTTTATGGCGATCCGTGATTGCTATTCGCAGATCCTCCGGTACTTCTGGTAGAGCAGCAGGGTCGCTAGGCGCCGGTGCAGGTTTCTGGGCTTCCTGGATTGGCTTCCACCACACCTTTACCGCTTTTGGCAGGATTCTCCATCGACACTACCGACGGGTACGAAGCAGAACTTCGTCCATCCACGACTCTCTTAGTCTCCTATCTACAGGATGTTGCTCGTCCGAGCACCTCATTCTCTTCAACAGATAAACGAACATGACTAAATCGACATCGAATATTTCGAGGTCTTGAAAAGGTGGATGGTATAATTAAATGCTTGGTAACATAATATATGTAGTGCAAAAGTGTCCGTTCAAATAGGCATATGTGTTAAGTAAACATTTATCTTTTTCATTGTTCCAATGACTTGTGAGACAATATTACATATGATAGAAAAACAAGGCGAATGTTAAAATCACACAAACGGAAAACACAATTTGCTACTCAGATATATTTATTAACTTTTATTACGCGAATACAAGGAAGCATCCGCTTCCTTTCAATATATTCTTTAGGTAAAGGCTTGCAACACTAAATCTGGCACCGGTGTCGAAAACTGCTTCTCCCAATATTCCAAATAGTTTTACGTGCACGGCCAAACACACTTGTGGCGATCGAGTTGAAAGAAAGTGGCTGAGGGCTGTTTCTATTGTTGTTGCTGCAGGTATTGCAATTTGACCTGAAAACGAAACATAATACAAATAGGGAGCCCTATAAGTTACCCAAATTTGGTATGACAATAAATAGCGAAAGCTGGGAAGCCGAGTCATACGCTTCCTAGACTATAGACTAATTAGCCTTCAATCCTTTCTAAAGAAAGGTTACGGTACTCCAAAATTAGGAACATTATCAACCCAAACAAAATTGATAATGTTCTGATTATAGGGTGGCAAGGGGTCAATAAGTATACACTGCTGACCAAAATAAGTAGTGTACAACGATCGGCTTCGATCCCGATTGCTGGAGCGCTAATAAGCACACCATAGGCAGCCCTGAATACAATCCTGCATCTCCAACCACTAGACATTCTGGTTAAATTAAATGTGCCCTGAGGCTCCGGGAAACGGACGCCTGGAAGTCGCTGAACTAATTCAAATGTAGGTTTAAAACTCTTCCTTCCATAGTTTCTAACTTAGTATTTATTAAACAATCAGAAAGATCACCTGCAGGAGTATTTCCTAATTTAAGGCACATTTTCATAAGGCTGTCGGTTTCGTATTCGAACGTAACACAAGTTGTGGTATTCATAATTAATTATTAACTAATGTATTTATTACATTATTTAAAACAAGTTATGTATTGCAAGTTAATACCAAATTTGGGTAACTTATAGTGTTCCCTATGTGTACTATGTTTCGTGTTACGAGCTTTATTATAAGATTTCCTAGCAGTCTTTGTCAAGGATGCTCAGCCATACCGGCTGAGATTTTCTCCCAGGGTATGTCAAACGGCAGGAAGCCTTATAGCTCCTCAGAAGAGTCCCTGTGACATCGTTCACTGCTTTCTCAGCATACTCAGTCGTTCCGTGGGCTATGCGGTCAGGGTTTGTGAATGCTGTTTTATGTTTGAATTTATCCCAGTTTGTCTTCCAAGGGTTCCTATAAGGTTTCTGCTTTTCGCTAGAGGTATGAATTTGTGATGGTTGTGTCAATGACTTCGCCTCTCACTCTTTTTACGAAAGTATCTGTATTGCCCCTATTACATATCCTAAGATTATATCTATTATACTCACCTCTTGGATTGGTTTCACTGTGATGGGCATTAGCATCACATCCAATGACTAGATCGCCAATGCTATTCTCGAGTTACCCTATCTAGTCTGACTGACACTGTTGCTGAAATTTGAAAGAAGCCCGCGGAGGCCGTCAAAACCGTGTAGATTTTGTCGCTCAAGCCAGTCACCTTATCTTTGTAGAGATATGTATATAATCCACTGACAAATTGACACTTGATATCGAGAGGATTTAGTAGCCTAAACGTGCTCTTGAATAGTCGGTGTTTAAGGAAGAGAGAGCGAGGAGCAATTCAGCAGTTGCTGTCTGCAGTTTCCCCATCCCTTTAAACAGCTCATGCTTGTTCCTGCTTAGGTACTGCTCACCAACAGAGTCGGCGGCGAACTGCTGTTTCTTTCACTTCCTCATCTGTTTTTCCACCAACCTCAGTGAATTCTCCAGTCCCTTAAAAGGTGGTGGGATCCGCACTAAGTTAACCGCCAACTTTCAGATAGCTGTCGATCAGCAACCATTTATCATCACTGAAAATCCCGTTTATGGCGATCCGTGATTGCTATTCGCAGATCCTCCGGTACTTCTGGTAGAGCAGCAGGGTCGCTAGGCGCCGGTGCAGGTTTCTGGGCTTCCTGGATTGGCTTCCACCACACCTTTACCGCTTTTGGCAGGATTCTCCATCGACACTACCGACGGGTACGAAGCAGAACTTCGTCCATCCACGACTCTCTTAGTCTCCTATCTACAGGATGTTGCTCGTCCGAGCACCTCATTCTCTTCAACAGATAAACGAACATGACTAAATCGACATCGAATATTTCGAGGTCTTGAAAAGGTGGATGGTATAATTAAATGCTTGGTAACATAATATATGTAGTGCAAAAGTGTCCGTTCAAATAGGCATATGTGTTAAGTAAACATTTATCTTTTTCATTGTTCCAATGACTTGTGAGACAATATTACATATGATAGAAAAACAAGGCGAATGTTAAAATCACACAAACGGAAAACACAATTTGCTACTCAGATATATTTATTAACTTTTATTACGCGAATACAATTACTACTTTTTTTCATCTTCACCTAATATACTTGCAAAATGTTCAGCTAATCTTTCAGCATTATTTAGTACTTCATCTCGACTAAGGTTTTGCGAAATTACTTTGAACTGTTGTATGCTATTAAGCAGATCTTCAAATTCGTTCAATTGCTTTTCGACATCATTATCATCCTCCTGTAATTCATCATTGGTACTATCTGGTATTAAATCTATAAAATATTTTGTTAATATATTGTTACTACATAATATGATTACTTTGTTTTAACTTACTATGAGAGCCCTTGCTGGGGGTCAAAACATTAGACCATATATTATTTTTTAACATCTCAATGACTTCGTTGTAGCCATTATATGCGCCGTCCCCGCTATTCTCATCATCATACAAATCGATTATGGCAAAATGTGACAATGCACACTTTGTTCTCACCAACGAGTTAGCTCCAGTTTGGGAAAAATTTTTAGTTAATAGGCAGGAGAAACCAATGTTATTCTTCTTCACAAATTTATCTAAGTCATCGATTTTGGATGCGAATGACACCTATAAAGATATATAGATTTGGAATATATATATATATATATATATATATTATTTATGCTTAATACATTTATTCCAAGACAGATTTTATAAGGTTACCGCGTCAGCAATCGATTACAACAAACAATTTTTGTAGTTGAATGGCCTGTCAAAAAAGTCTCACAAAAACAAAGATTCTTGCAAAATTTTATTCAGAAATATTAATAAATGGATTGTAGAACAAAATCTTCTAAATCCAATATTTTTGCCATTTTATAATACCTACAGCTGTGCTGATGTGGCTACCTTATTGCCTTGATTTATTCTCTAAACTGCATTTACATTAGAACTACAATACGGTTTACCTCCTTTATGAGTATTTATTTTCAGGGTTTAAAATGCTAACGCCAAAATAGCAAAAACACAGAAAATTGCCGCTTTGCTAGCTAAATTCATACTCAAAATACGCAGCACAGCCAAGCACAACTGCAACAAATAACAAGACATTACAAAAAATTTTAGCCAGCAAAACTAAAGCTTCTTGATTTTGTCAGCAGCTACAAAATAGCAATGAACAACTACAACATAATTGTCAAAGCGACCAACAACCAAAAATTTTTAGTTAATAGGCAGGAGAAACCAATGTTATTCTTCTTCACAAATGTATCTAAGTCATCGATTTTGGATGCGAATGATACATATAAAGATATATAGATTTGGAATATATAATATATATATATTATTTATGCTTAATACATTTATTCCAAGATAGATTTTATAAGGTTACCGCGTCAGCAATCGATTACAACAAACAAATTTTGTAGTTCAATGGTCTGTCAAAAATATTTCACAAAAACAAAGATTCTTGCAAAATTTTATTCATAAATATTAATAAATTGATTGTAGAACAAAATTTTCTAAATCCAATATTTTTGACATTTTATAATACCTAAAGCTGTGCTGATGCGGCTACCTATTGCCTTGATTTATTCTCTAATGCCATGTACAGACGAGCGTTGTTCGCTCTCTCATTCGTTGTTCGACCCTTAATTATGAAGTAATTACTTAGTTCCCCATACAAAATTGTCTGAGCGGACACCGACTTTTGTACGTTGTTCAATTCGAATCACTCTCTGAATAACCAAGAAATTTGTCCCATTCCTAACAATTAAGAGTATTTATCGAAAATAAATTAATTTTGACAGCATGAAAATATTTATAAAATTTTTAAACTTTTTCAGTAAAATTGAAAATGATGAATGAAAAGTGAAAAATTGTATACTTTTTATATATGCAGCAGGATGTAAATTTTGTTTTCTACATAATGCAGTATGCATTTCTTTTCCCTTGGTTCTAATTAGCGTACAAAACAAGAAACAAATGGGGGGCAACTCAAACAAAAATTCTCCAAATTTTTATATGTGACATTATGTGACATTTGAATTGAGAAAATATAAAAATGTATTAAAAACAACAAAATTTTCAGAAAACATGGATGAAAAGTAAATAGATATGGGTTCATACTATAGTCAGGAGAAAGAGAATTATTTTTTTCTATTTAGATGCATATGTAATTCCCTAAAATATGTTACATTTTTGGTGTAAAACAAGAAACAAAAAAGTTTGAAATAAAAAACTCTGATGACATGAATTAAGAATGGTGTTGTATGAACGGGTTAATTCATGTACGTAATTCTGAGAGCGAACTACGTTGTTCGTATACCCGTAAGAACATTGCATAAACTGCATTTACATTAGAACTAAAACACGGTTTACCTCCTCTATGAGTATTTATTTTCAGGGTTGAAAATGCTAACGCCAAAATAGCAAAAACACAGAAAATTGCCGCTTTGCTAGCTAAATTCATACTCAAAATATGCAGCACAGCCCAGCACAACTGCAACAAATAACAAATCATTACAACAAATTTTAGCCAGCAAAACTAAAGCTTCTTGATTTTGTCAGCAGCTACAAAATAGCAATGAACAACTACAACATAATTGTCAAAGCGACTAACAACCAAAGCATACAATGATGACGAAAGAGCTAAGTAGAATGCTCGCGTTGAGCCATTCGTCGCGTTATATGTTATCAAAAATACAACAAACCCAAGGAAACGATAACACAAACGCATATCGTTTCCTTGTGATTGTTGTATTTTCGATAACATATAACGCGACGGATTGCTCGACGCGAGCATTCTGCTTAGCCCTTAAGCACCTTGACTGTGGCTGCTTAGCAAGATTTTTAGCCAACAAAACCCGAGCATTTTTCGAGTTCAGTGTTGCCCATTGAAAAGTTATAACTTATATGAGATAATTAAAAATCGTGATTATGATAATTTAATTTTTTTCGAACAATGACAATGATTAATACTTGCTAAAGGTTTCTATTTAATATATAATTTGGTTTTTAGTACTATTATTGACAGTTTTTTATTACGGTTTGACAGGTTTAAATTAAATAACAACACACAAATTGAATTGCCTTTTTTCTAATTTCTGCGTTGGCAACACACAAACATAAAAACAACCATCGGCTGATTATTCGTCGGCAGCGAAATATGAATATGCATTCGTACTGCCGATTAGTCATAACAAAAAAAGCTCGCATGTGAAAAACGTGCTTAGCACGAATGCTACGAACTAAAACAGATAGCAGTTTGCTGATTTAGTCATAATGTCAATATTTTTTAGCAGTAGCAGTTTAGAGCTAAATGCTAATATTTTTGATGCTGCATTTTAAACCCTGTTTATTTGACATATTTGAAATGGAAATGACTATTCAATGTAAATGTACTATAAGTAAACTACAAACAGAGACAAAATATTTTCTCTGTGATTGGAGAAATTATTGTTGCTACAACTTTTATATGTTTGTAGCAAACATGTAAATTGCAATTTGAAAATACTCCGTTCCCTACAAGTAAAAATTTCAAAATCTAACTCAAAATTTCGTAATATGATAAAAATGATTTACAATAGTAATGTTCATCACAGTCATGTTGTTAAGAGTGATGTCGTGGAGTATAATTAAATGTTTTATTTATTTCAAAATTACAATATTAAGGAGTGAATAAAAATATCACATGGAATATATCAAATCAAAATAAACAAAGTTTGCCTTTTTTCGCAGTTAAAACAAAATTGTGTGGGTTTTTTCTGAAAAAGGTTTTTTGTTTGAAAATATATAATTTAAAATTAAATAGCAAACATTCTTAAAATATGTTTTTTTTTTAATTTACAATATCTTATTTTGGTTTGAAAATATTTATTGCTATACTAAAACTATGTTGTTTTAGGTTTAGTTATTTTCCTGAGCACTTACATTGTTTGGCAGTTAATGAAACCGGATCAAGAGATGGCAACATAAATTAGTTCAAATTTCTAAAAAAAAAAACTGCTACCACCAATGACTACGACTTGTTTGTAAATAAAGCTTTTTGTATATAAATCGAAACTTGATATTTATAATCAGCATATATTACCAATAAATTCAGTCACTAACGAAATGAATGACTCTTACAGAATATAAGTTCTCGGCGATTTTAATCTGCCATCAGTAATATGGCTTTCACTGCCAGATTCTGAGGCGGTGATGCAAATGTATACCAACATACTTTTGAAATTGTAAATCGTTTTAGTGACATAAATCTTCATCAAATAAATAGTACATAAAACTGTTATAGTTGAATCCTAGATCTAGCATTTGTGAATTATACACAATATTTTGAAGTATTTAAAATGCCTCCTGTATGTATTCCCGAAGATAGCCACTAAATGCACAGTATCCGTGATCCTCTTTATTTATTTGGGCTTTCAAGTATTAAAAATTATAAAAATAAACTTTTTAAAAAATATAAAAAATCAATCTCCTCTTTAGATTATGCTGTTGCAAGGTCGAGATATACGACTGAGAACCGACAAGTTTACAATATTCACGTAAACAAGATAAAACATATTTACAAATCCAATGTTAAATATAATAAAAAATATTGGCATGTTAAAAACGCCACACGACCAACTGTCACATTATCTGCGTCCTCGTTCGGTATTAAAAAGCTCCTAGTGGTTCTTTCCGACTTTAACTGCTGATCTTGTCTTATCCTGCATAGCCTTATTAATTTTGCAGGAATGCCAATCGCAGACATGGCTTTACACAACTTTGAACGGATATAGTCGACGAATAGGTGAAATGTGTCGGTGTGTTTTTCGTGGCTCTTTTCCAACTTTTATCATTTTGTACTTTTCGTAGTTCGATTTTCCTATACGCTAAGAGTAATTATAATTCCAAATATAAGTATTCCATCTCAATCCGTTCAACCAAATCTAAAGTACCATACCAACTTTAGTAGTAGTACACATGATTACAAAATTGTTAAACTACATCCATAGTTTTACTCCCAAATATTCGGATTCCAGCTCTATCAGCTAACATAAAAACAAATTGTAAAATATTTGGTACCATTTACTATTTAATGTTGGATTCCAGATCTATCCGATCACACATAATCAAGATGTGTCAAAAATAGTACCATTTATTATACATAAGTATTATACTTGCATATCTCAGTTATTCGAAACTGCAACCATTATTCCAAAATGTTGGTTTCCAGATCTGTCTGTTGGACGAACGTCCAAATCCAAATTGTACCAAATCTAGTGCCGTTTAGTACTTTTCGCACACATAAATACGAATTCCAAAGTTCAGGTTTTCTGGTCTATCTGTTCACCCAGAATTCAAATTGTTCTAAATTTAGTGTCATTTAGTAATTTTGCTACCAGAAGTACGAATTTCCAAAACGAAATTTAGTACCATTTAGTACTTTTCGTACACATAACCCTGTACTACAATAGTAATCCGAATTCCTATTTTCAGGATTCCATAAATGCAAATAGTACCAAATTTAGTACTTTTCATAAACATTAGTACAAATTTCTAATTTCTTGGATTTCTTTTAAAATTTCAAGATTCTAACTTCTAGTTTAGTACTTTTCGTACACTTATAAGGCTAATTTCCAAAA